ACGTGAAAGAAAAGAATCGTGGAGTCCACCGGACGTAACACTGCTATAGTATAAAATTATTAGAATTATATAAATAATATTTAAAAATTTTGTTACCCGAAACAATTTATTTAATTATTTTAGATAACAATACATTTAAAATATATTATAATATGTGAACATATCTAAATATTTAGTTAAGCTTGCTTATCTAATTAAATATTAAATTAAGCAAAAATTGAAGTTAGATTTTTGAGTTTGCAATTCCACTATCTTTTTTCATTTTTGTAATGTACAAAGAGAGAAAAGATATATCACGCTCTTTATATATTATAATAGTTATATAATAATCTAATGATATAATGATCCAAAAAATATATTCCGATTGTTAGTGATATTTTCGTTGAAGGATCCAATTCCAGAATGGATAGATAATTTTAATGGTCCACTAGGACTGTTATGTTTCGGCGGCAAAGGATTATTACGAGCACTGTATGCTAGTAAAAATATTTCACAAAATTACATACCAGTAGACACTGTCATCAACATTATAATTCTCGTAATTTGGAAGCTTGGATTGACAACGTACGATCATCAACTTATATGTATATTAACGTATCTCTAGCTTTACATTTGCTACAAACGGAAATTATCTTAATTTGAAATTAAATTTATGTTGTGCTATTATTACACGCGTTATTCAAATTGCTTCGTTTTTTTGTATTAGACTTTAGACAGTTAAAATGTTATATTTTTTCTCGATTAAATTTAGATATAATTTTCTCTTGGATAAGATTAAATTGAGATGTTTAAAATAATTAAATAAAATTTTTTTATACATCTACAATCTACATTCTTAATGCTTAATTCGTTAAAATATGTTAAAATAAAATTTGTAATATTCTATAATAATATATCTTGTGACATTCTCGCAATTTTATTTAATATAATTATATATTTTATGTTCCTTATCTAATTGTAAGATATTTTTGAAATTTAATGCAATTTTTATAAAATCTTATTACTTATACTGCATTAAATTAATTTATAATATTATTTATTATTAGTTTCACACCAGAGTCTACATGTTTTGTTGTAAACTGTACTTCTCCTGATGAAAAAAATGTATCATTACAAGAAAATAGTAACAGAGGATTTAAAATCGTGGAAAAGATACCCTTCGAAGGAATTCTCTGGACGCCTGGTACATTATTTACCGAGAGTGTAATAATGCATTATGTATTGGCAATACTGTGGCATATCTTA